GTAATGTAGGAAAGGGTGCAGCCACTGAGAAATCTGGTCATTTAATATTCTTATTTATTATTTCATCAAGATCACAGCTATGACAGTATCATCTTTACCCCTCACCACTCCCGAAGTAGCCATGAGGTTAATTGGAAACATATGAACAGTGATGACAGGCTCGGATTCTAAGGAATAGAGCCTTCAGCAGGGCTGGTACCGCACTTCAGTTTTGTAGCATCCCCAGGCATCCCCTGTGATTTGGCTTCCTGCAGTTTGCATTGGTCTGTGATGGGGTTAAAGCTGGTACACATGAAGCCAAGCATCTCAAGTTCCCTGATGGCCAAGTGGCCCCCAAGGGAATGTGCAGACATGCTTCATAAATACAGCTGCCTCCGTATCTGAACAGATACTGCCTGCTGCCTGTGCTACCTCTCTGATGACTTCTTGTCCTTTAAAGTGAAGACCTCTGGTGTCAGCGGCTCCCCTTCTAGCAGAAATTGGGTACGTTGGCAGGTTTCACTATCTTAAAAATGCAAAGTGAAGGGGAAAGGCTGCAAGCTGTTTCCATTTGCAGATGTTCTGTGCAGCGGCAGAGGACTCAGCTGGGCTGTCAGCATGACTCAGTGACGGGGCTGGAGGACAGGCAGCACTAGGTAGCTTGGGAACCCCTCCCCTACATAGGCCCATAATCCACGGTGGGTTGTTCAAGCTACACAGAAATCTGACATTCAAAGAGAGTTTGGAGTGTAAAAACCCCAATGCCCCAAGTCAGGATTTCTCCAGGATTCCCATTGCCGTGTGCTCTGGGCTGAGTGAGAGGAGACACGGAATATCCGTGACTAGTTCCCAACTCGCCTCATGTTTATTAGCTCCTGGAAATTGTACCAGCAAATGCATTTTCAAAGGTTTTATTCTCTGGCTCGATTGTGAAGGCAGGAATTCAGAGCTGCGTTGCTTGGTGGTAACAGGTCCTATAGGGCATATTTCTGTTTCCTGACTGCTGAGGGCTCCAGCACTTCTGCCCTGCAGATACCCCTCAGAGTTACAGGACTACCTGCATCTCTGCCCCCGTTCTGGTCTCCAAGTGCCAGATGTCAGGCTTCATAACCTTCCCTCTCATGGGGTGGAATCCCGTGATCCTCCCATCCTCAGACTGGGCCCTTGGCTACAACACACTCTGGGGGACTGTGATTGCCCAGCAGGTCCCAGTGGGTTCGGCAGCTGTGGTTCTTCACTTTGTGACCATGTGACTAATGCTGAGACGAGTGACCAGCCAGCCTTCTTGAACCAAAATACTGTTTGATCTGAACAGACGGAATGAAGCGTAACATGGGAGAATAGGATGGTTTTCCAAGAACAGTCTATACATGTCTCTGACTCCAAGTCCTCCCCCTCTGATGCAGACATAGGCAGGCCAAGGGCCTTCAGATTTCCCCAACGGTGTCTGTCCTTGCACTCTGAAGAGCTTCTCAGCAAAAGCTGCCCCATCTCTGCACAGACTCCCAGCGCTGGCAAAACAAGCTGTGTAACATGGCTGGAGCCTGGAAATAGGCTCTTCACAAAGTGTAGCTCCAGTGTTGTCTCTCAATCTCCCTGAAGTGCTGACTGATCGATGGCTTTTTCTTGATCTGTGCCTTCCCATTCTGTTTGTTTTCCAGCAGCCTACTATTAAACTAAGAAGAGCCAAACTGGTTACACCTAATAAAGCCTTAACATAAACATCAGCTCCATGTCTGTCCCAATGCCGTTCCCAGGTGCTACAGATTTTATTAATACAGGACAGAGACAGTCAGAGAGAGCAATAAACTACTTTCCTGTGAGAAACGAAGTTCCATTTCCATGAATACTCATGCATTTGACTTTCAAATCCACGTTCTGCAAACCATCATTCTGGCTGAATAACAGGTGCTGGAATTACTATGTACTAGAGAGTAAGAATTCAGGGAATGAATATTTCCTATACTGATACCAATGCCTGTTACCACTCCGGGTATGGGCTACAGATTGACAGCACAGAACCTGAGGAGAACCAGTCAGCTATTAACCCAGTGACAGAGGAACCACTAGACTTTTGTTTTCTGACAAATGACTGAATGAGGGCTGAGACGTTGTGATCTTCTCAGGTTCTGAAGAAATCCAGATGACAGACACTACATTTTAAGTCCCACTCTAACCTGAGAAATCACCTCTGAAAGAAGATCGGAGTGGAAGGACTGGGCTGACAGGTGTGTACAAAAATACAGATACGTAAATGTTATGTCAACATTTTTAATTGTAATACAAATTTTACACATCAAACTTTCATGACATGAAGGTATATCGAAAGCCAGCAGCACAGTTGTTAGAATCTCTACAGGAAGGAGCAGTGGTAACTTTACTGCTTAATGGATTTTGCTTTAGAAAGTATTTCAGAAATACTCCACATACTATTTGGAAAAGGTTGTATGCTATGAACTCCTTATTCTGTGAATCATAGAAGAATAGGATTGGGAGATCTCAGGAGGTCATCTAGTCCAACCCCCTGCTCAAAGCAGGACCAACCCCAATTAAATCATCCCAGCCACAAGTTTGTGGAGCCGGGTCTTAAAAACCTATATGGATGGAGATTCCACCACCTCCCTAGGTAACCCATTCCAGTGCTTCACCACCATCCTAGTGAAGTATGGTTTCCTAATAGCCAACCTAGACCTCCACTACTGCAACTTGAGACATTTGCTCTTTGCTCTGTCATTTGTCAACACTGAGAACAGCCAAACTCCATTCTCTTTGGAAGACCTGAGAAAAAGACCGCTGGTCTGTGTTTCAGCAAAGAATAGGGCAGAGGTGCAGGAAAGGAGAGTGTAATAGTGGTTGTATTTAATTATCACCTTACACGAGCATGGCTGAAGTAACTTGCACACTGAAGAGGATATTACTGCAAACCTACTGTTTGCACTATTC